CAACTTATTCTACTAATGGCTAGCTAGCAATGGTCTCCGCCGTATCTCTTGCCCTTCTATCCCTCATGCCGAGTCTATGACCTTCTTATGCCCAAGTTTCTTGCGTGCCGACCCCCAAATGTGATAGTTATAGTCGATTTGAATAGGATCTCTGTAGACGTCTCTGCTTGGATTCCGATTGTTCCTCTTTGGTTCTAAAATAAAAAATATTACCTTTGTCCAGCCGTTTTCTTTTTGCTGATATTTCTGTTCACTGATCTTCTCCAAGTTTGCTCAGGCAGTATGCAAAGTTTTCGCTAATCCTACCTTCTTTAAAAAGTGGGTTGACCTCGTTGTTGCAACTAGGTCTTGTTGTCAGGGCGACTAAGTAGAACGCACCTAGTCTGAATTCGTCTGCACTATTAGTTGTCATGATTCCCAGCATCAGTTAGTGGACTTGGTACATTCTCAAACGTTTCGCCGGCATCGTAGTCGGTATTATCAGACGTTTTGCCATTCACCTCACTCGTCAAAGAGTCCAGTGAAGTCAATTACTCGACAAACGTTCTGCCAAAAACGGTTACACTATCACTCCTCTTTCTGTCCTGGCCTCTTATCCCACTGCCGCCCTACCACAGCTTCTGACTTGTTTACATTCCATTCGTCAAAATGTGTGCGGTTTTGTGGCAAATCTAGGATGGCCTCATCACACCTGCTTTTCACCTCGAACCCCTCTCTTTCGATCAGCTGATTCGACTCGAGCCTCCAATCCAGATCCCCTCATTGTCTCGTAGATCCGTTCTTTATTTTTCTGGTTGACCGATTTCACTCGGTTCCCGTCACAGTGTGCCTTCCTCGTAGTCGACATCATCCGTGAGTGCTGCCATTCTCCACACGAAATTGCAAACTCGTCAAAGAGGCAAGTGAAGTCAATACCTCGACAAACGTGCTGATGCCGAAACGAGGCCGGCGAAACGTCTGAGAATGTATCAAGTCCACGGTCGGATGCTAGGAATCAAGACAACTACTACGGCAGACGACTTCGCGATGCCGGCGAAACGTTTGAGAATGTATCAAGTCCACTGTCAGATGCTGGGAATCATGACAACTACTATAGCAGACGACGTCCACTGTCAGATGCTGGGAATCATGACAACTATTCGGCATGCCGGCGAAACGTTTGAGAATGTACCAAGTCCACTGTCTGATGCTGGGAATTATGACAACTACTATGGTAGTCGACGAAACGTTTGAGAATGTACCAAGTCCACTGTCTGATGCTGGGAATCATGACAACTACTATGGCAGACGAATGACGAGTTCGTAGCTTGGTGCGGCGAATGGCAAAACTCACTGATGATGCCGACTACGATGCCGGCGAACACTCTGAGAATGTACCAAGTCCACTGTCTGATGCTGGGAATCATGACAACTACTATGGCAGACGACTTCGGAATAGGTGCGTTCTGCTAAGTCGCCATGACAACAATACAAAGTTGCGACAACGAGATCATCCCACTTCTATACATCGAAAGGAGACTGCGACCATACCAGAGGTCACATCATCTTGGTCTTCATATCTTCGAATTGACTAAATTAATTATTTTTCATTTATAAGTAGGCTTTCCAGCAATGTGTCCGTCTTGTTTCGTTTAAGCTAATAAGGGTACAGGTAGTTACATTTTCCCACAGTCAGATGAGTTCTCCCTAAGTTTGCATTGAATCTCACACAGCCTTGCTTGCCCAAAAGCTAATCTCAAGCAAGATTACGTGGGAACTTTAAAGGAGTCATCCGATTCAACCACCAGTCTCCTTATCTCCTTAAACGGAATATGGTGATTACATCTCATAAATGTATAAATGGTCAACTCATAGTCCCGAAAGCCTACTATTTCTAATCGAAAAATGCACTGTACATCAGCTGCCAAGTGATGGCATGCCTCGTACAATTTGGCTTTACCACCGCCGACTCAGCAGACAGAGCAGAGATGGGTTGTGAACGAACGAAGTAACCAAGACGCATAAGAAGCAGCGACTCTGTCGTCGGCTTGTGGGTGACTGGACCGGCGCGAATCTCGGCAGCCGGCTCATATGACCTTGGAGGAGGACCGGACTCGGA